GATCTCTTTCACATGATCTAATCGTCGATAGGAATTTGAATGATTGTTTATTTTGTGAAGGGAAATTGACACATATCTTCTGGAACGCCGACAGTTGGCTCCCCGACAAGTATGATGATCCTTATCTTATTAATTATTCCTTGACCGTATCTCTTCGAAAGAAGTCTCTTTATGATCACTATGTTACGGCTTATGGCGATGAGGATAAATTTACGGATGAGTTGACGGATGGATATTATGAGTCTGTCGGTTTCTCCACTTTCGAAACAACAAAAGGGAGTGAACGTGAAAGAGTTCATATGATGTTGCTGGATATTATTTTACGTGCTTCAGCAGATAACCACCACAAATCCGATTTTGTGATCATCACAAAACTGTCACAAGACTCGGAGATGATCTGTAGGGTTCTTGGTTCTTTGAGACAAAGAGGCTGCCGTCTTTTATTTACACTCCCTGAGGTTGACTCATATAGTAATTTTGGAATCACTGTGGTCCCCTCCGAGTATAACCTTTCCGATGACTGTAGTATCCCAGTTTGGCTTTGTCCAAAGCTATTTGACTATGAATGGCCACACCAGCCAGAGCCAGACCATGGAGATAGCACGAGCTATTTTATACAGCCTCCCGCTCCAGATTTGTATGCCTTTGATTTCTCCATGCCCGAGGAGGAAGCTATTGATACATGCGTCTTCTGGGACGTGGAGGATTACCCACTCCCTCCGGATCTCCACATCCATCAGTTTTATAAGAATATCTCAAGAGCTGTTCTTGATCGTGTTCGTTCTTCTTTTGGCGTGGCTTTCTACGCCTATGCTGTGAAAGAGGATGTGAAAAAGGAGATTGATATCCATCGCTGCCAAGGAATCAGAATAGATGTGGTACACGATGCTCCAGCAGACAAATTTGAAAGACTTGCTATGATTACAAGGGACTTTCTTTTGTGGTCAATGGACAATCCTGCCAAACGTCCCGGTCCTCAGTCCCGTCCAAATTTGCTGGTAATCTCTAAACTCTTGAAACCTGACACATTGTCTGTCAGGTCTAGCCTTCATGGTTTGAAAAATAGAGGCTACAATGTTTTCCTGGCACTGCCTTTCGAAGAAATCCCACGGCCATATGATGCTAAGCATAATGTTCCATTGTTGTCTTGGGAAGCCCTATCAGCAACTGGAAAGCGCAAGACCAGAGGATGATTGTCTGCTCACTAATCATTCTGTCTTGTCTCAGTTTCTGAAAATGTTGTGGAATATAACGGTTGTCTATTGGATGGAATAAAGAAAAGCACTTTTGAAGGAACACATTTGAATTTATTTGGAATCATTTTTTATGCTTCTTGCAAATTTCTCACCGCTAATTTCAAAAAAAAAAGGAAAGAGCTTTTGAGAGAGACAAATTGAATCAGCCATTTTCCAATCTGAATCTGCTCAAAACTCTTTACGTCACTTAAAAAAAAATTCTCACCGTTACACTGGTTGAGTAGAATCCCGAGGAAACAGAGATTTTGAAACAAATCTCTGATTTTTTTTTTAAATTCTGAATGGTATTTTCGTAAAAAAAAAATTTTATGAAGGTTTATATGATTTTTTACGAATGTTGAATAAAAATTGTCTTAGTAATTAAGTTACTTTCCACAGTTGTTTTAGTAATTATCTCTATAGTTTTAGCAACAAAAAAGCTCATGCATATACAATGATTTTGGGTTCATGATAAAGTTTGACCCTGAAAAAAACAAAAGAGGTTAAAAAGCAAATGTACAAACTCACGCTAAGTTTCATGCTTCTCCGCTATATATACATAGCTAGTAACCAAAGAAACACATTCAAGAAAACAAAATAAACCACAAAAAGATGGGGTTAAGAAATTTATGGGCATTAATATATGTAGTAGTGATGATGATGATAATAATTGAGGTAGAATCAAGTCTTCGCAGAGTAGGTGGCGGACAATACACTTGGAACCCTCTTTCAACTTCTCCGACTGGACCAGCAACGAGAAATTCATCTCCGGCGATTGGCTCTGTCAGTAGTAACATTTCCTCATCCTTTTCTCTACTTACCAATTTTGATTGAAAAAAAAAAGAAAAAGGGGATAAAAACAAGTACACCATTTTTTGGATTTTAAGTTTGGTTTTTAGCGTCTATATAATTTAATATTCTGAGGTTAGTGTTTAAGGTCTATTTTGTTAATTTCAGTAGTAAATATTGTTTGCTTATATTTAACTTAGTTTCTAATCTAAAATTGGCAGATTTTGGGTTCGATGAAACCCGTCACAATATCCTCCAAGTAAACAAGAATAGCTACGAGCAATGCATCGACACCGATTTCATATTCAACGTGACACATGTAGGACGAGATGTATTCCACCTCCTTGAACACTATACAACATTATATAGGGTCCATATTTCATTGATAACATATAGTTTCATTTCTAATTGATCATTTCTTCACAGTTTATGGAGTTTCGAACAATTTCATTGTTTATCTTATCCATTGTGATGATTATATCATCAAATGGTAACGGCAATGCTACTGTGAAGATTGGCCTGAAGAGAACGACGCAAAAAGATACACCTCATAACTTAAACAATCTTACCGCTGTAGAAGATCATGTTGTACTTAAGAGCACCGACAATGTGATCTACTATGGTGATGTTGCCATAGGTACACCAAGCCAGCCATTCATTACAGTTTTTGATACTGGAAGCTCAGATCTGTGGGTACCCAATCAAAATTGGCTTGACAATCCCAATAACAACAAATAGAAATCTACAGAATCATCAACCTAGATAAAAAACGGTATATCTAATTCTATTCATGCTCTAATTCTGTTGTTCTCATAACTATAATCTAACAATTGACTTTACAGGAGAAATATGGTGAAGACAGTATGATTGAAGGCTTCCTTAGCACAGATGACGTAACAATTGGTCAAATGGTCGTCAGAAAACAAGTATGATCTTTTTTTTTTCTTTTGGTCAATAAGTATGATCTTAAACATTTTGAATAATTAATTTTATTCACTTTGATTAAATTTATGCATTTTTCTCTTCAGGAATTTATAGAGGCTACTAAAGAGGATGACTTAAAACGAAAATTCATGAATTCACCTTTTGATGGTATTATTGGGTTGGGGTTCCAAGAAAACTCCGTGAAACTTTCGGTCCCCATTTGGTAATATTTTTGTTTTAGTTGTATCCTTTTATCTCTAATTTGTTTTTACTAATCACACTCATAATCTTTATATGTTATACTACATAGGGAAAACATGAGAGATCAAGATCTTGTTAAAAAAAAAATTTCTCCATTTATTTAAAACACTATAATACAGAAGATGAAGAAAATGGGGTTCTTGTTTTTGGCGGTTTCGACCCGGCACATTTTATTGGAGAGCACACATATACACCCGTAACGCAGCAATGTTACTGGGAGTTTAAGATGGGGCCAATACACATTGGAGACCAGCAAACTGAGCATTGCGCCAATGAATGTGATGCAATTATTGACTCGGGCCATTCGTTAGTCAAAGGTCCACCGGTAAGAAAATTAGTGTACATTTTTTAGTTATGAATATCATGTTGAAAATTAACGAAGTGACTACGACTAACATGTACACTCTAGTTATGACTAATTATTTTTGAAATATGGTATCACCTAATGATTTTTTCCTTTTCTAGTCTATGATTAACGACATCAATAAAGCTATTGGAGCGGACATCGTTACAAGATCAGTGCATTGCGGTAAAATTTCCTCGATGCCCACAATCTCCTTTACTATCAATGGTAGAACCTTCCCTATCTCCCCAAAAGATGTAAGTTCAAATGAATTTGTTCGTTAAGTTAATTCTGTTTTTGTCATGATGATATCAACTTTATGTGTTTCCCTAATTTTCTTCAGTATATAGAGATACCTACAATTGGAGACGACTTGAAACAACCCAACCCTTTTTTTTAATTAACGTTGGACTCGAATTAGTATTCCCATCAATTCTAATTCTCAATATCCAATCAGGCACACACAATCAACGAATAACCAGCGGAAAACCACATAAACCAACAAACCAACAATTAAACCATAAAATTACTAAACCAA